TGATAATTCAACGATCTTTGGTTGCTTTTGTTGCCCTCATTCACTTTTACAGTCTCGATAACTCAATCGAACCCATTGAAAAGTCATTAGGTTGAGTTCGAAACTATATACGACTTCATTATATATTTATGAAAAACGATTTGATTGTAAACTGTCAAAAATCATTAATTCTATTAAATTAATGAAGAATTTGAACCAATTTTTACATCATTTCGACTTTTGGGAACGTGCTTGTTATTAACAATATGAATCAGAGACACAGCATGAGCACGATGGATTACCTTTTCACAATCAGATGCTCTGACATTAGATTCTGTCTATCGAGAATTTTGAATCAACTATCAAATTTTTTCGAACTCTTGCGTTGCTTTTGTCCGAAAATGCAAAAAACAAAGTCAATGGCTTAGCAAACTGCCGTATCTTGCTGTGCAAATGGAAGCTTAGATGAGATGAGTCGCTTCATTAGACAAAAGTCGATGATTTCATTCTTATTACAGGTCATCAACAGCATCATTCTTTCCATCAAATGTTTTCATCAAATAATCAACACTAAAACAAATAGAAACGCCTGCTCATTTGTACCGAAAACTAACATTTCCAACCATGTTCATTAAAAACAAATCAAAATCCAAGCGCATTGCTTTCCAAAAAACCGGTATGCAACAAAAAGTGTAAATATCTCCAATTTCATGCATTGAATGCGTATTGATGTTTTTCCTGAATCAATCGATTAATAGATGAAATTCGCTGTGAATGATGGAAAATGTTTAAATTCAGTAAAATTCATCGATGCGAGACAGATAAAATATATATCATTTTTTCTGAATTTCATTCAAATCAAATTACGCAGCTATTTTACACGCTGCATTTTCCATCACAATGAAAAATCATCAATTCATCATTTTTTTTTTTCAACATTTTCTCGAAAATATATATCGGAATTGAATTTTTTTGCATTGAAATATTTTCAATGAAACATCACTTTTTGTGTGAAATTTTAATATTTTCACCACAATGAGTTCACATAACTGTACAAAACGTGTCGGTTTTTCTGCTCATTTATTTGTTTTACGTTTTATCTTTTCACTTGAAATTACCGGAACCGATATGCATTGGAATGGACATAGTTTTTTATGCATTGGAATCGACTTTATTCGTCGACACTGTTATCCACCGCGAAGAAGTTCTATGGCCACGGCAATTCGAATTGGCTTCTATTAGAAGATAATGATCCAAAACACAAAAGTCGTCTCTGCACCGCTTGGAAAGAGGAAAATGGAATAAAACAAATGATCCGGCCACCACAGTCACCCGATTGCAATCCGTTCGAAAATGTTTGGGCTATTATTAAGGCAAGGCTTCTTGGTAAAACACACTGCAATTTGAAGCATCTCAGTTCATTCATTCAACACCAGTGGAACGGTTCAACGCGAATTTGCTGAAAATTTGAGCAAAAGTATGCCGAATAGATGTGCCCGTGTGATCAATGCAGGAGAATGCAGGAGAATAGATTAAATATTGATTATGTGCGCCGTAGCTTAGATACTGAATAAAATGTGTATAGACTAATTTTGCAAAAATCCTGTGTTTTTGTCTAAAAAATCGATGGATCTATATAAAAAAACGTACTGTATATCATGGTTTAACACGATTTAACACAGTAAATGATGTCGGACAATCATGGTCCAAGACTTAAAAAATGAAATTAATATTGAATGAACAAAATTTTATAAAGTCAAAATCTATAGAGATAGTAATTTCAGAAGAAGGAATTACAATAACATGTCTACCCGAGCGAGCGAAGCGAGCGGAGGCCGGCTAGTAGGAAATAAAAATCGTCCGCGGAAAATAAAATCGTAGAACAAAAGTTTCTTATCTCAGTATGGTCTATCAGAAAAACACCCCCCCCCCCCTCAATGATATCCTCAAATTTTAGAGAACGACCCACCCTACTTTGTAACATTCTTGATATAGCTTATTGATCCACAGGACGGCGAGAGAATGAGGATATTAGCTTGGAATCCTCTGGACCTGGGATCACCCTACACTCCTTTCACTAATAATTACTCGTTCGCTCACTCATTGATAACTTCATTTGTTCACTTAATCTTTCGCGTTTTCATTTTTCACTTAAAAAAAAATTTCAAAAATTTTCTTGGGGAAAAATTTTTTCGATTTTATTTTCGTGTTTTTCTTGGGGAAAATTTTTTTCGATTTTATTTTCGTGTTTTTCGGACCCAAACGCAGTTCAATAAATGGCCGGTTCAAAATTTCTCAGCGGAAATAATTTATACCGAGGTCCTACACACGGTTCGTGGCACGTAACGGACGAGTTTTCGAATACTTTAAATACTTTCGGTAAGTTTGCACAAATCTTTTCAATTGTTAGGGATTGTTAGGGCATGGTGACTCCACTCTTCAGGAAAGCCAGAATCTCAGTAATACGTATCTAGTACTACTGATGAGGCCTTCAAGGCCGAAACACGTTTGTACAATCACTTTGATTGTGCTATGCTTCGACTTTACGTCATTAAAATTCCCCTGATCTTTGCAATTTAAGTCGTTGTTTTAGTTATAGTGTATAAGTGTGGTGCCGGATTGGCGAGTCGTCCGCGGTCATCATCTTCTATGATGGTCATGTCCAAGGCCCCAGGGCCTCCTCCCAACACACATCACATATACATACATACACACGTACTCAATTTGATTTGCATAAGATCCCGCTTGGGTTAGAATCTGAGGCCGGCCACGGCCAACATGGCGGCCAAATCGAAAAATGCCAGAACAAAAAAGTCTCTAAAAACAAACTACTTAAGATTTCTGAACGTCGACTGTAATACTTTTTTCAGTTTCTTCTTAGTACAAGGAAGGTTAAACCGTTAGAATGACGCACGAAATTCTGTTTCAATCATTTGGTACCGTCAAAGGATTCGAAGAATCGTACTGCGATCATGAGAAACCATTTTTTCTAAACTGGATTGAGGACGAGCTATGCATGGCATTCATTGCAACAGCTGCGGGAAAAAATGTTGGCCACATATTTGCACAGATGGATAAGGTTGACAACAATAAACTATTCATCCATTCTATTGAAGTCTTGGAAGAGTTCAGAAATAATCTCATTGGGACACGTTTGCTACAGAAATTAGAAAATGTTGCAGTCGCGCGAAATTTTAAAACTTTATCCTTAGATGTTTTATTCTACAATGATGGTGCGATAAGATTGTATGAAAAGTTCGGTTTTAAAAAGGCTTCATCACAAAACCACCCTTATCTGTTGCGAATGCAGAAAAATATATAAAACAGAGGTTCGGCGAACTCAAACCAATAACTGATGGACTGTGCTCACACGGGGTATTTAATAAATATAGTAGTATAAATACTATTTACACCCTATTAACATTTTTCTCTCTTTCATTTACAGATTATAAATTTCCGAAATAATTTTATTTTTCTACCTCGAATATGGTCAAGTCAAAGGAAATTTGAAAAACATAAAAAAAATTGAATGTAAAAAATGCCATAGTTAATGTTAAAATGTTATATTGAATAAAAATAAAAAAAAATCGATACATAGATGTCGATTTGCTAATGATTTTCGTCAGAAACAAACTTTTACTTGATTTTCTAGTAATATTATAAAAACTCAACGCAAATATTCGCATTTTTATACTAACTGATATTTTTCCACAGACCAAATATAATTCTTTTAATTTGTTTATGAATATGGACGAATCGGTACACACGTGTCGCCAAACGTCATTAAAATGGACCATCCGCATGAAAACGAGAGTATCATACTTCAAAGCCACTTGAATGTTTGTGGTAAATTTATTTGTAGAAGTACCAAGAGGGATCAATGTGTCACAAGCATATAAAAGGTAAAGCAAACACAAACAACGCTCAATTAAACACACAACAACCCAATCCAAAAGGAGAGAGAAGCGTGTTTTTTTTGGAATTTGTGTTGAATGTTTTTAATTAAAAATAAATAAGTAAACATTAAATTAAAATCGGTATCATGTCTCTGAAATTCGGCGATAAGAAATTGGAGAAATGTACATCATTATCGAAAATTGTATGTGCGACTCACAATGAAAATATCAAATATATTTGACGCATCGACAATTTTTGGCTATTACTTCGATGACTATGACATTCAATTATTTTTATATGCTACATGTAAATAGAACGAAATGAGAATAGTCGCCGTTAATACGTGTAAGACTTCTTTGCAAATTCGTCACAAGTTGGAAGAATTTTAACGAGATGTCGCAATCTTTTCAATCAAATATTTGATTCGTTAACCAAATACCGACTCATTTTTACATTAATCTTTATCGCATTAATTTATAGGTTCGTTTGTTTGTTTCGGGAATTTGAGCGTAAATGTATGATAAATATTTGACGCATTTCTGAGTTTATATACAACTAGTTTTGATCATGACAACAAATGACTGGCTCTTAGGCGCTTGCACACGTGCGATAGTTATTTACTTTTTTCGATGCCATTTGATTTTTTTCATCAGAGTCCAATTGATACAAAGAATCATCGTTGTGACACATCAAATCCTAAATTCTTCATATAATAACTGTATAATCACGCGAGAATAAAAAATTAAATCCATGTATAATAAATACAAAGTTGAAACTGATATTTGTTCGTTGAAAATGGCGAATTTAAGATGTTTTACTTTTGTGTCGTGTGTACGTACCACTGTTTGTGTCGATTCGATGACATTACATTCACATTGTGCAATGCATTTAGAATTACTTATAAATTTTTTGATGAATTCACTTTTATTGTTCAGATTACAAGTGATTCATTGTGCATCCTCATTTGGATAATAAATTGCTCAGATAACACATTGATAAGGAAAAATTCTGCGCGTTTTTCAACAAAAATATTATTGTATTGTATAAACAGTCAATTTTACCATCAATCAAGTACTATATATAGTGAGACATTTGTTACCGTTTCGCAATAACTGAGTTATCATTTGAAATCAGTGCAGATCGACGGTCGAATCAATTACACTTTGAATTTCTTCTAACTTTATTCATAAAGAATCATTTTGAACAATCTAATTCGAATATTTCTTTGAAAAATTGTCATTGTACGGAACGCAACAATGTATTTAGTTTATTTGGTGATTGCACTGCTGGCTTGCGCTCATGCCAAATCAGTTGGTAAGCCTCTTTCCAACAGTTAAATTTGATATTGGTTTTTTTTTAAATATAAAATATATTTTTTTACTCTTCCGATAGAGAGAGAAACGAAAATTGTTGGTGGTGAAAAAGCGCCGCGTTCATATCCATACCAAATTTCATTGCAAGTTAAAACTCCAGAGTATCTTCCGTTTTGGTTGCCGATCCCCACAGGTAAATACAAATACTCACATAACTGTGGCGGTTCAATCATAGAAAAAAACTATGTCTTAACGGCGGCTCACTGTGTTGTTGACTATGAAGCTCAAGATTTGTCAATTTGGGCTGGAACTAATAAATTGGATGGCAAAGGAGAAAGATATTTTGTCGAAGAGATCACAGTACATGAGAATTATAAAGAATTGGTTACAAGTGACATTGCTCTTCTCAAAATAAATGGCGCATTCAATTATAGCTCAACCATTGCATCAATCAAATATTCAAATCAAAAAATTGGCGGAGGAGTGATCACCACACTTACTGGATGGGGTATGTATCGCTATCGAAAAAAAACAATGCTGGTTATAATTGTAATCCAAGGGGCTTATGACTGACTCGAATCAGCGTTGACTCGTGAAAGTCTCATACAAACTGCTCACGAGTCACATCATACATAACATACACAAAATGTATGGCTGTAGCGCGAGTCACGAGTCAATCATTAATGTCAATTTCAAATAACATCAACATTTAATTGAAGACATATAATTTTTCTAGCATCCAAAGTAATCATATTAATTCTCTTAAAAATGTCCACTGTGTCAAAGCAATTATTGTTCAAATTTCTTTCTGTTTGATAATTAAAAATACACAATAAGATAAAAACACTTCTATCACAAATCAAATGAAACAGTAATGAGGAACGCATCATAAATATCACGTCTTACCTCAACAAAGGACTCTGTATTCTAAATCGAATGATGAAATTTATTTCCAATGTGACATCAAATATTTTTCCGATCGAAATGTTGTTGGAATATCCACAGTAAATTTTATCAACACTCTGTTATTTCGAAATTAAAACAAAAATGAACACAAAACCAACTGTGAATATATCCATTCCACAGCAAACAGCGAACACACAAAATTGTTGAAATTGAAATGACAATACAACGCTTCAAACACTCTCATATAATTTTCAAGAAATCCTATTGAAAACAAAACAAAGTTTTATTGTAAACAAAATCGGTTGGTGCGATTGTAGTTTCAAAGTGATGGAAGTTGTTTATACTAACAATACTGTCACACGATGCGAGCACATTTTCTAATATGCCAAACGAAAAATGTCAGTTGCATTTCGAAAATCCAAAATAATAATTCCACAAATAAAGAAAATTAAATGCAATAAATGACGTGTAAAAGAGTTCTCCTGCAGAATTTTAAATTAAATTAGGCAAATCTCTTTCCGAATAAATTTGTTTATTTTTTTTTTTTTTGAGCGTAAGATTTAGATTTTCAATTTAAAACTTAATGTATTGGGTTGTGTTCACATTCTGGTGGTCATTTTCGTGTCAAATGGAATGGAGATTATGTGCATAGTTTCCACGAATTCCAATGGAATGGATCCACTTGTTTCTTTCACTTCAAATAATATTTCATTTGACAACATAATGTGAACACAACCATTAGGTTTTAAATTGAAAACAATTTATTCGGAAAGAGATTTGCCTAATTTAATTTAAAATTCTGCAGAAGAACTCTTTTACACGTCATTTATTGCATTTAATTTTCTTTATTTGTGGAATTATTATTTTGAATTTTCGAAATGCAACTGACATTTTTCGTTTGGCATATTAGAAAATGTGCTCGCATCGTGTGACAGTATTTTTAGTATAAACAACTTCCATCACTTTGAAACTACAATCGCACCAACCGATTTTGTTTACAATAAAATTTTGTTTTGTTTTTAAGAGGATTTCTTGAGAATTAGATGTGAGTGTCTGTAGCGTGGTATGGGCGATCAATTGATTTTATTCTCATTTCAATTTCAACGATTTTGTGTGTTCGGAACGCTGTTCGCTGAGGAATGGATATATTCACAGTTGGTTTTGTGTTCATTTTTGTTTTAATTTCGAAATAACAGAGTGTTGTTAAAATTTACTGTGAATATTCCAACAACATTTCGATCGGGGAAATATTTGATGTCACATTGGAAATAAATTTCATAATTCGATTTAGAATACAGAGTTCTTTGTTGAGGTAAGACGTGATATTTATAATGCGTTCTTCAATACTGTTTCATTTGATTTGTGATAGAAGTTTTTTTATCTTATTGTGTTTGTGATCTATGCTATATTTGGTGCATTTTTTTCTAAATTTGTGTCTATTTTTTATTTTCGTTCATTTGTATCAGTTCTTCAATTTGTATCAGTGTACATGTTTGTTGTTATTGGTGGTCAACAAATTGTTATGATTTAACATTCGCTTAAAACCTTTCATTGAGACTTTTTACTGACTTGAAAATCATAAGGGGACTCGCAAATCACATACAGACTCTTATTGATTAGTATAATTCACATGAGACTCTTGCGATTCACATATGTCATAAGCCTCTTGTTGTAATCTCTACTCTGTAGGATATACAAATCAATACCGCGAAGGTAAGCCAGCAAATGACTTACAACGGATCTACTTACAATCAATCACCAATGATCAATGTCGAGCAAAGGGTCAAAATGTGACTAATACGGAAACCTGTACGTCGGCGCCACCGAAGAAAGGCGCTTGTGGCGTAAGTACTACAACTATTTCTTTAAAAAAAAATGATAAATCACAAAATATTTTTAGGGAGACTCTGGTGGACCGTTGGCCATTGGAGATGGCAAAGAAGTTGTTGGCATAGTTTCGTACGGTACCTCAGTTTGCGCACTCGGCTATCCTGACGTTTTTACACGTGTTTCAGAATTTTACGGATGGATCAAAAATAATACTGATGCTTGATACAAAACAATTTTTGCAACTATTCAAATCAAAAATCCAATTTAAAGCAATGAACATCAGTGCTACATCATTGAAAATGTAGTAAAATGCATGTAGAATAAAAAATCAAACTTATATGAAATTGATTTCATTAAAAATAAATGCAAGATCTTTGAACCCATGTGAAATGTTGTCAGTTCATTACATCATTTCCTGACGCAATGTCGTCGAAAAGTCTCTGTAATCTGTCTGTGGTGTTTATCTTTATTCCATTTGACAAAGGATTCTCACGCGTTACGCTATGAAACTAACAAACATGTCATCGGAATGATTGCATTGTAAATCATGAAATATGACAGGAATAAAGCCACAAATGTCACTCGAGACACGTGAAAAACATCGATATTTGTTTATTTTAAGTTTGTTGGCTTATTCACACAAGTCATGCAATGACTTTACATTAATATCGGTGGTTTCTGCTAATTACCCGTTTTTAATGCTAATTTTGAATGATGATGTATTGGTCTCTGAGATTAGTTTGCAATCTGGTTTTTGTTTGTGCCAAAGCACACGAAAGTTGTATAATGTTTAAATTCATGTACAGAAACAAAAGTGATCAAAAAATAATCCTTGACTTCAGTGTATTTAGTTCATTGATAGTGATTGCCAGTTGTAGAATAAAACAATAAAAATGGAATAATTGCATGGCGTTCATATGAAATGGTTTAAACAATCGAATTCTATCATACGAATTTTCTGGCAAAATGTTCAAAAAGTCACTTTTCACTGTTGTATATAGTACTGTATTGGACTAACTAAGAAAAGAATTTTGTTTGTGTCGATGAGCGTAGTATAACGATATCATTTAAATAAAATCGAATGAACGTATGGACGTGATACGAAATGAATAAAAAAATAGACTACATTTGCTTTAGTTTTTGGCCATGACTTTGACGACTATGACAGTCAAAAAGAACAAAACAAAAATCGTCATCAGTTAATCAGTTCGAAGAATTCTAATTAGATGGCTCAACCTTTTCTATCACCCAAATTCCTTGTGCTCATTTTTTCTCTCCTAATCTCAACAATGTTACCTTGTTCCGGGAATTTTAGTGAAAACGTTTGAAAAATATTTGATGCATTTCGGAGGTTAGCTTTATATTGATCATCATATGGAAATGCATTCACATGCAAACAACACAAATACTGTGCCTGAGTCAGTTGTACACGTGTATTATGCAAATATTATTTATTTACATTTGTTGTACGGCGCTTGTCTAGCTATCACTTCACACAATTGATATTCTATACGAAGCTTTATTTTTATCAATTGACGTATGAGACATCAAGCTGATGAATTAGAGCGTCTTTTATTAACGACAGCTATTATGACATCGACGCGATTAAATTGTACGTGAGTAAAAACTTCCCAATAGTAGAAACTAATCTCCGCGCTATATGGAAGACTTTCGAATGGAAAAATGTGCAAATTCTTCCTTCATCGAATTCAATGTCATTTCACTTTTTGTTTGTGAACCACTATTTATGTCGATTCTGTTCGATGACATTGACATTTTTCTGTGCCGATCAATGCATTTGTTTATATAGGTTTTTTGACGCCGTTTACACTTTTACTTCGTTGTACGCATCACATGTGCGATTTAATTTGCATTCTCATTTGGATATAATAATAATTTGCACAGATAAAATTCGCGTTATGCATAAATACGGTGATAAGAAAATTGGTGCGTTTTTCACAATATCAAGGCCTCTGAATTGTTTAAACAGCCAATTCGACAGACTTATATGCCTATATCAGTAATGTGCGAGCTACATTTTACAGGGGGGGGTGATTTTTCAAAAACTAAAAATTCTCTCATCTGAACAACAAATTTCGTTTTTTTTTTTTTTTTTTTTTTT